ATGTTTGCTTGTTTTTTAATTAATTTTAATGAAAGTTTGCAGAGACTTAGGGTTTTCATTCATTCATTGTTGTCCTCCCTACCTATCCCCTCCCCGCCCCCAATTCACTCTTCTCTTTGAAAAGTAAAATTCTTTCATTGTTATATAATCCCTCCCCCCCCCAGGTCCATTCCACTCTGCAGCCTTTGTTCAGGACTCCTGTCATGACAATAATACGTAATCATAGATCCCTTTTAAACAGTTCTCTCCCTCATTTATTTCAGTGCAGTATACATCATTTATCCCATGTTTCTCAGTCTCCTCCCCAACCCCGAAGTCAGTCCCGTTTTACAACACTGGCCCTACGCAGTATTTGTCCTTTGTGACTGAGATATTTCACTCGGCATAATGTGGGGTGTTTTAGTTTGTTTTTTTTTATTTTATTATTTTTTGTGCATGTGTGTGTACCATCAAATCAGATCTGACTGGTACAGGAGGAGACTGTTTCTCCTTCTCCAGCAAAGCATCTGGTGGATTTGAACCATGCACCTCTGGGATTGCAGCACACCCTCCTGCCACTAGGCCATCAGAGCTCGCCGCCATAATGTATTTTTAAGTCAAGGGTTTTCGTCATTCTTATGAAACACAATAATATAAACACCAGTTTAATAGTTTCATCAAGCATCCTTGGGTGACAGTCTTACAGGAGTGAGATAGTCTCCCTATCCTTTGCCAAATAATTGAATCCCCATTAACATAAATTCCCTGAGCACAAACTCTCCCTTTTCTCCCTCCTCCTGCCACCAGATCTCGCAATCTTTACTTCCAATATACTAAATGAAATCCTGCACTAATTGTCCTTCCCGCCTGCCACAATTTGCTATGCAGTATGGTTTCCGCCTTTAGCCAGGCGTGTCACGGCTTGGAGCTTCACGTGTCTCTGTGACTGTGTCTGCGTAGTGTTCCATTGTGTACGTTGTTGTTACTAGGTGCTGTCAAATGCACTACAGCTCATGGTGGTGCGGTGAGCATCACATCAATACCTTGGCCGGCCCTGTGCTGTTCTCATGATTTCCTGCGTGCTCAAGGCCACTGTTGTGGTCACTGAGTAAAGTCATCTCTTGAGGTCCCCCCATGTCTTCTCTCTTCTCCTTCTCTCTTCTCCCCCTCCCTCTGTGTCTCACTCTCCCTCACTCCTCCTTCTTCTCCTTCTCCTCCTCCTCTTCCTCTTTTCCCTCCTTCTCCTCCTCCTCCTTTTCTTCCTCATCTTCTTCCTCCTCCTCTTCTTCTTCCTCTCTCTCCTTTTTCTTCCTCTCCCTCTCCTCCTTTTTATCTCTCTCCTCCCTTCTCCTTCTCTCTCCCTCCTCTTCCTCGCTCTCCCCCTCTCTCTGTCTCTCCCTCCCTCCTTCCTTTCCCCCCCCCCTCATTTTCCCAACGTGATGTCTATTTCCAAGGACTGGCCCCTCCTGACAACAAGTTCCGAGTCAATGGGATGACGTGTGCCCATCCTTCCTCTAAAGAGTGTCCAGGTTGCTCTTCCTCTGAGACAGACGTGTCTGTTTTTTGGCGGTCAAGTCCGACCAGCTGAGTCAAACAGAAGCTACTGTATAGCAATGGGCTTGGTGTGCTTCCTCTGGTCTTGGAACGTGAGTTGAGGAAGGATGAGATGTCTCCCACTGGCTGAAGTGCTCAATACATTCAAAGGAAAAAAAAATCCTTTCAATATCTTAGTCACTTGACGCCTCTGAGACTTGACGTCATCACCATATTCTTTTTTCAGCAGGTCCTGCTTGTTCATTGTTTCGAGAGGTTTTGTGGTGGTTTGTTTTTGTGTGTGTTTTTTTTTTCTTCAGGAGAGTTCTAAACACACCATCTTGGCACAAGATGACCGAATCTTCCTTTTCTAACTCCGGCCTGCTGTTGTATCTGCAACAGCTCAGACGCGAAGATTTCTGGAAATTTAAGCAGCATCTCAAGGAAGAACCTCAGAAGCTGAATCTGCAGCCACTTTCCTGGGCCAAAATAAAGAATGGTTCCCGAGAAGATCTAGCAAAGTTGTTGCACAAGCATTACTCAGAGCAACAGGCGTGGAACGTGACTCTCAACATTTTTTTAGCAATAGACAGGAGAGACCTCTGGGGAAAGGCCCAGGAGGAGATTCACCGTGAGTATGGGCAGCTGGGGCGGACACTCCTCCAGGAAGGCTGATTTTTCTGGAAGATTCTGATTCTATCATTGTTGAGAGATCAGCTCTGCTCTCCGCATTTGAGCGCATGCTGTGGTCTCGTGTAAGCCTTAGAAGTGAGAACAGGAGAATTGTGAGCCTTCTCTGGTTACACATAGGCTGGTTGAGAACTTGGGATTACGAATGTTCTGACCCAGAACTGTTGCCTCACACACACACTGTTCTGCCCTTTGAGGAGATGACTTAAAAGTCAGTGCTTACATCACAGGACCTTCTGAGACAGCGCCCCGTTTTTACACTTGCCAGTTTTGTTTTTATTGCTGTTGTTAGGTGCTATCTACTCCATTCCAACCCATGACACTTCTATGCACAACCTGGAGAAGCCTTGGCCTTTCTCACCGCATCCTCAGTCTCTGTTATAGGAATTGTGTCCATACAACTCCTTGAGGGGCTGCTCCCCCTGACTTCCCAAGGTCCCCCTCCTCCTCCCCTCTCCCTCCTCCTTCCCAGAGTTCACGTCCTTATCCAAGCACACACGCTCCAAGTGCGTGAGGTGTAGGCTTGCCAACCTTTTCTCCTAGAAATACCCCGGCCGCACTTCCTCCAAAATAGAGTGGGTTTGTTGGGTGAGTGTTGGTTTCTTTTTTTCAGTGCTGCCATTCCGTGGTAGCCTCAATGCTCTTCACCAGTGTTGTTATGTGCCGTCAAGTTGCCTGCAATTCATAGCGACACTGTGTACAACAGCCCTAAACCCTGCTCTGTCCTGTGCCAACCTCACTGTCTCTGACACACCCACCCCCGTTACCCCAGTCACTGAATCAACACATCTTATTGAGGGTCTTCCTCTCAGCACTGTCCCCCCACCCTTCCAGGCATGACATCCCTCTCCAAGGACTATTCCCTCCTTGCAACATGTTCAAAGTATGTCAGATGGAGCTTCATAATCCTTGCCTCCAAAGAGCATCCGGGTTTAACCCTCTCTAGGATGAATCTGTTCATTTTCTTAGCAGTCCATGGTATATTCAACACCACAGCTCAAAGGCATCAACTCTCCTTCTATCCTCCCTAGTCATTGTCCAGCTCTCTGATGCATAACAAGTGATTGCGAAGACCATGGCCTGTATCAGGTGCACCTTAGTCTCCAGAGTGACACCATTGCTCTTCAGTACTTTGGAGAGGTCCCTGACAACAGACTTTCCCATTGCGAATGTGTCTTTTAATTTCCTGGCTGCTGGTGACTGTATTAGTCTATGTATTTACGTTCAAATAAACTCCTAGGAGGGATTTGGAGGAGTAAAAAAAAAAAATACTTTTTTTTTGCCTTGTTTGAAATGTCCTCTCTTCTGTCTTCATTGGCTCAGATAACATAAACCCGTACAAAAACCACATGGAGTCAAAGTTCCGTGTCATATGGGAAAAAGAAACATGCCTTCCAGTCCCCGACTCTTTCTACAAAGAAACCATCAAGACAGAGTATGACAATCTGAAAAGTGCCTTTCCGCCTGAAAAGACACACAAGAGAGCTCTCACAGTGGTCCTGCGGGGTCCCGAAGGAGTTGGGAAAACCACCTTTTTGAGAAAAGTGATGTTGGAATGGGCACGAGGGAACATCTGGAATGACAGATTCACACATGTCTTCTTCCTTAACGTCTGTGAAATGAGGCGCTTGAGAAAGACCAGCTTAGTGGAGTGGCTCTCCAGGGACTGGCCTGCGTCGTCGAAGCTGCTGGAACAGATCTTTTCCCAGCCCCAGGCCATCCTGTTTCTCGTAGACAGCATCGAGGAGCTGAAATTAAATACTTTGCTGGACGATGACCTGTGTGATGACTGGAACCAGCCGCGGCCCCCGGAGATTATCCTCGGCAGCTTGCTGCAGAAAGCGATGTTGCCCAGCTCCTCTCTGCTCATCGCGTTAAAACCTGCGGATGTAGGGAAAAATTATTTGCTCCCGTGGCAAAAACCCATCGTTATTCCAGGATTCTCTGAGGAGCAAGTGGAGTTGTATTTCCTTCTCTTTTTTGCTGAGAAAACTAAAGCCATGAAGGCCTTTGATTTTGTTAGGAACAGGCAACCCCTGCTGTGGTTGTGCCAAAAGCCCCTTTTCTGTTGGTTAACCTGTTCTGCCTTGACAAGACAGCTTGCGAGGGGCGAAGAGCTTGAGGTCGAGTTCGGGACCATCACCTCTTTCTATGTCTCTTTTCTCACGACTGTGTTCAGAGCAGGAGGCGAGGATTCTCCGCAGTGTCAGAACGTCGCATCCCTAAAAGCCTTGTGCTCTTTGGCTGCGGAGGGGACTTGGACTTGCACCTACTTCTTTTTGACTGAGGATCTTGGGACGCATGGCGTGTCCACGGCGGACGTCTCGATGTGGTTGAGCCTGAATATTCTTCGCCAGAACGGTGACTCTATTACCTTCAGCCATGACCAAGTTCAAGAGTTCTTTACTGCCATGTTCTATTTGCTAAAACAACCTGAAGATGAGCCTAACCCGTTCATCGGCAGCATCAGCCAGCTTATCAGCACGTGTCTCAAGCAAGAAAGAACAGGCTTGTCACTCGTGAAGCAATTTGTGTTTGGACTTCTATCAGAAGCCACAGCCAAAACACTAGAGTCGTGCTACGGTCCCCAAAAGTCCCAGGAAGTAAAGCAGGAAATGCTCAAATGTATAAAAAGCTTAAGTCATTTTGACGACAACGACCCAGAGCTGAATTTCCAGGAATTATTTGATGGTGTATTTGAAAACCATGAAGAAGAATTTGTAACAGCAGTAATGAGTTTCTTTGAAGAAGTTACCATTCATGTGGAGAACACACAGGAGCTGGTCATAAATTCCTACTGTCTGTCACACTGCAGGAATTTGCACAAACTTACAATGTGTCTAGGAGACGTCTTCTCGGAAGACTCTGAACTCCCCAGGTGAGTACATCCAGGAGCTCAATGCAAACCACCCCATACGTGTAGTTTGCCCCAACCCTCCATTCATTTACATACACTTTGTACTTTGCAGTATGTCCTTGTAAACAAAAAGACTTTTCGTTTTGCATCCTGGTGCTAGCCATTGTTAGCTATATTGTAGGGAGCATCTCAGCTTCTTGGAATTTTTCCTTCTGTGGCAGGAAAGGCAAGTTTTTCTCCTTCACCTGTGGCCTAGTGGCAAGAAGCTGCGCTGTAAGCGCAAAGCCACACGGTTCAAATCCACCAGCCTGCTTTGGGGGCGGGGGAGAATGAGCAATGTCCTTCCCTGCAATTGGCTGCCTCTGAAACCCCGCTGGAGGGTCAGCTATGGGTCAGTGCCGACTCGATGGTCCACAACAAAAACAGGGCTAATGTGAAGTTTACAAGCAAGAAGGTTTTATAGTTACTAAAGATTTACTCCATAGCCTTTAAATTCGCATGACCAACGTATGGTTTGGTTCCCAAATATATGCCATCTTTTAGGAGAATGTTTTTTGCATTGAATATCCTGTTCATAGAGGGATCACCAAATATAAAGTCTTTTTTTAAAAAAAAATATTTGCACTCTAATCCCAGAGGTACATGGTTCGAATCCACCAGATGCTCTGCTGGAGAAGGAGAGGCTATCTCCTCCTGTACCAGTCAGATCCGATTTGACGGTACACACTTAAAAAATAATATATATACACAGCCAAACCCAAGTTTGTTCACAATTCTAGGAATTTGGTGGTTCAATAACTTTAGTTATGTGTTTCACAATGAGTCCCTGTTCTATTTCTACCTGTTAGTTCAGCACATGACTTTATGCTCTGCATTTGTGCATGAAGTCAGCTCTTGTCAGTTAATACACATATTTCTTTATAAAAGAGCCATGCTTGAGGCAAACATTCTTTTTTTTAATTTTTTTTTTTTATTTTTGTGTGAGTGTACCGTCAAATCAGATCTGACTGGTACAGGAGGAGATTGTCCCTCCTTCCCCGGCAGAGCATCTCATGGATTCGAACCGTGCGCCTCTGGGATTGTAGTTGCAGCTCCTTGCCACTAGGCCACCAGAGCTCCCCTGAGGCAAACATTATTTTGGAGGTTAAATGTTTGTGTAGGGAGCTCTGGTGACCTAGTGGCAAGAAACTGCACTGCAGTTGCAAAGGCATGCGGTTCAAATCCACCAGCTGCTCCGTGGGAGAAGGATGGTCCGTCTCCTCCCCTGCGATTAACTGCCTCTAAAAACCCACGAGAGGGTCACCTAGGGGTCAGTTCTGACTCTACAGTTCATAACAACAATAACAACAACAAATGTTTCCTTACAAGTTGTACAGATTCTTTCTGGCCAGTAGGTTTGGGGCTTCTCTCTGTCCCAGTGGACCCAATAAAACCCGGTTTCCATATGAATTTGAAATTCTGAGCATTGACTCTTTTAGATCAAAGCATATCGGGGTCAGAATCTATGGTTGCCTTGAATTTAAAAAAAGAAAATGCCTGCTAAGTATTGATCTCCTAGCGAGAAAATATTCTCACTCCATCTCTTCACAGTGCAAATAGGTAAGAACTCAAGTGCTAACTCAAATACTGGACGTCTGTGTCCTCTCCAAGGGGCTTGGAAGGGAGGCTTGGTTATCTCTTTGCAAACAGTCATTTCAGCAACTGGTGGAGGGCACACCTCCTCTGAGCAACGTGGTATCGCCGTGAGTTATGGTGACTCCACTGCTGTTAGTTTTGTTCTCACGTGGATGATGGGGGAGCGAGGATTAGAACCCAACTGGAAAGCTTCCCCAAAGTCACGTAGCTGATATGTGGGTTGATCGCAGTGACTCTGACTCTGGGTCCACAGTGTGGCCACTGGGATACGTTGGTTCAGTTTACCACCCTGAACATCGGCTCTCCGTCAGTGTGTCTTGTTCAAGACCGGTCTCCATCAGCGGTGAGTTTCTTGGGAATCGATTTCTGTTTATTTTGGAAATGCCTGAGGCTGAAGGGAGAATCCTGTGTTTTGTTCTCCTCCAGGACTGAGAAGCTTGCTATTTGGCAAAACTGTTGTTCCATCTTCCACACCAACGAGAACCTGCAAGTGTTCTTGCTGGAGAACTGTGCTTACAGCCACGCGCCCATGGCTATTCTGTGTAAGGCCATCGCCCACCCGTTGTGCAGACTCCACAGTCTGACGTAAGTTTGGTATTTCACCGCTTCTTCACGCCTCTGAAATGATCCACTCCTCCCTCCTTTAGGAACCCTGGAGGCGTGGTGCCTCATGTGTTAGGCTACTAACAGAAGGGTTTAAGGTTCAAAGCCACCACCTGCCCTATGGAAGAAAGACGGAAAGTGTCCTCCTGTAAATACTTAGAGTCTCAGAAGTGCAATGGAAGGGTCCCAATGACTCAGGCTGGAATCAGTAACAGTGTATTCATCCCTCTCTCTCCTGGGACCTAACCCACTAGCCTGCTTTGAGGAAGAAAGATGGGTCGTTCTTCCATCAAAATTTCTGCCGCCTTGGAAATTCAGAGGGGTGTTATTCTGAATCATAACCAACTATGGTAGTAGCCTTGGGTTTTTGGTGATCTTTTGGAAGAAGACAACATAAGCACAAAGAATTATAGTGGTATTAGTACTACTACTGTTGTTGTTGTTGTTGTTTTGTTTCTGCTACGTCTTCTCTTGACTCGTAGTAACCCCATACTCAACCAAAGTCATTGACTTGTTTGACAATGAACCCATGATCAATTGCAGATTGGATAATCAAGATCAATAGCCTTTTTGTTGACTGGCTTTTCATAAGCAGGTCACTAAGCCTTTCACTTATCTTCATCTTAAAGCTCTGCGGAAGCGCATTCAGCATCACAGCAGTACACAGCCTCCACTGACAGGCTAGATCGCAGCCGGGTTTGACAGGTGCACTGGCTGGAAGTCACACCCGGAACCTCAGTAGGACAGAGGAGAACTCGATACCTGTGAACCACTAAGACCTCAAAAGATTGCATTTAGTGGCACACGTAAACTTTAGTTAAAACCACAACTTAAAAAGGACACACTTTAAACTGTAAGACATCAACACCAACCCCAAACCTTGCCATTGAGTCAATTCCAATTCAGAAAGACCCTGTGGGACTTCGTAACGTCCATCTGGGATTCCTGAGGCTGTGACTTCTATGGGAAGATATTGATCTATCCCAAGGAGCATTTGGACTTAAACAACCGATCTTTAAGCACGGTGCTAAGACAAACATCACTGAAGGTTAAAGGATTTATAGAGAGATATGTGAATCCGTTGACGTATGAAAGTTGGATCTGTTATTTTAACTGGAGATAAACTGGGTTTCGATACAAAGACTATTCTTTTTTGATACACTAGTATCACATGTTGTGAGGAGAGACCGGTCCTTAGAGAGGGACATCATGCTTGGGAGGGTGGAGGGACAGTGCAGGAGAGGAAGGCCCTCTATGAGGTGGATTGATTCAGTGACTGGGATAATTGGGATGGGAGTGTCAGAGACAGTGCGATTGGCACAGGACAGAGCGGAGTTTAGGGCTGTTGTACATAGGGTCGCTATGAGTCGCAAGCGACTCGACGGCACATAACAACAACAAGAAGTTTTTATTTGTTTATTTTTAAATTATTATTCATTTCAATGAAAGTTTACAGAAACTTTGGATTTCTATTCATTCACTGTTGCACTTCTCTCCCTGCCCACCCCACCCCCACAAAGACTATTCTTGGAGATTATTTTATTGTTAAAACAGCATAAGGAGAAGAGGGTAAAATGCTCACAAAGATAGAACAGTTATAAGGGCTCATAACAACCAAAGATCATACAAATGCAGCAAAAACTTACAGAAGTTGAGCATCAATGGAAAAGAAAACTGTTGTTGAAAAGAGAGAATACAATTAGGGTGATGACATGAGAGACCTCTTAGTAATAGGTAACATTTGCTTAGAAGTTAATGAATCAGAGGTCGGTGTTCCCTCCATGAAGAGGGAGGAAACTGAAGACCATTGGGAGAGTAATCTTAAAACTAGAAAAAAAGGACTGGAAAGTATATATTAGAAACTCCTTGATCACAGAACTATTTACTTGATGTGCATTTCTTTGTCCCGTTTTGATGCAGTGCCCAAGAAAACCTTCCTGCCGTTGTCTTTTGTCATCCAGGCAATTCTATCTCACAATCCTCTCACTCGGGTCCGAGTTGCACGGTGGTCCACAAGGTTTTCAAAGGCTCGTGTTTAGATGTTTCTCCCAGACCTTTTTTCCAGAGGGCCTCTGGATGGGATTGAGGAACAATGTAGGGGTGGGAGGAGCCAGGTCCTTCTGAGACTGAGGACGACAGGCAGGACAAGTTGTAAAGAGATTTTCTTTCCTTAAGCTTGGATCACATGGCATGACTCCCAACACTTCTTCTTCCCCAGGGTGATGTTTATGACCAACTTGGGAGAGGGAGCGAGCTTCTTCAAGAGCGTTTCTCAAATCCCCCGCCTGAAGTACCTGAATCTCCACGGCACTAACCTCTCTCACAGCGCAGTCAGGGAAATGTGTCGCATGCTGAAACACCCCATGTGCAACATCGAAAAAATCATGTAAGTCGTGGGCTCGCCGGTACTTTTATTTTTCCCAATGTTGTTGCTTTTGATTGTCCGTTCTGAACCAACTCGTAGCTGACTCCTGAGGGATTTCAGAGGCAATGAATCACGTGGGAGGAGATTCCCCATCTACCTCCTGCCAAGCAGCTGATAGATTCAAACCTCCCAGCTTTGGGTTGGCAATACAGCTCTCCACCCGCTAGGCTACCAGGGCTCTGAGAAGACACAGTATGATAATATATGTTTATAAATTCTAATTTCTCTATCATTGTTTCTTGGTTTTTTTCCTTTCTTGTTGTTGGGTTTTTTTTTTAAGAATTTTTTCTTTTTTCCTTTTTTCTCTTCATTATTATTGCTTATCATTAACAATTGTATTTTTATTCTTCAAAATTTCTAGATTTTCATTTTTAGGGTTTTTTTAAACATTTTATTTATTTTCTTATTGTGTGTGTGTGTGTGTGTGTGTGAGTGTACCGTCAAATTGGATCTGGCTGGTACAGGAGGAGATTGTCCCTCCTTCCCCAGCATCTGGTGGATTCGAACCGCATTCCTCTGGGATTGCAGTGCAGCTTCTTGCCACTAGGCTACCAGAGCTCCCTTACTTTTAGGTTTTAAGTTACAGTTTTAAATATTTGCTTCATTTCATATGTGCCCATTTTTTATTTATACAATCATTCACTATCATACATTCATAGACATTTTATTTGATAGCATCTTTTCTGTACATTGTAGTGGCTTTTAAACGTTCTTTAAATTTTATATTGGTTTGCATACAAAATGTGTATATAAAGTTTCACACATTGCTTCCTTCATTTCGTCATTAGTACAATCATTCCCATCCGCTGTGTTTTCTAAAATTCTGTGCCCACTGCCACCTGGCCTTTTCAGGTCCTCACAAGATCTGTCCTCATTCCTTCAGTACCTCCCTCTGCCCACCAAACTCTGAGATCCTGTCACTTTCCCCACCTCCACCTTCAGACCCCTCCCACCTTCTCTTTCCCTCTCTGGACTTTTATCCACCTATTTCTACTTATCCTTCTACTTTTACAATAATGGTCTTATCCATGCTTCTATTTTTATTTCTTCTTTAAACCTTATGTCTTCCATGTTAATACTTATCTTTAAAATGTTGTCGAGTACCATTGAGTCGGAAGCAAACCCCAGCTGACCCTCCAGCGGGTTTTCAGAGGCACTTAATTGCACAAGACTAAATTGCCCATCCTTCTCCCACAGAGCAGTCGGTGGGTTTGAAATGCATACTTTTGAGAACCCAGTGCAGATTCTATACTCCATAATATTTTATTCACACTTAATAGTTCGCATATATTTTAAATTCTTCATTAATATTAGCAAAAAGTATTCTTTTTAATTTAATACTTGTTTGTTAAAAAGCTCAGATACAGGGAGCTCTTCTGGAGCAATTTCCCTTTTATCTCCTTGAAAAAAATGATTTTGTTTTCTGTATTGTGATTGCTTTGAACGTGTAGATTGCTTTTGGTAGGATTGTCCCTTTCACAATATTGAGTCTTCCTATCCATGAACAGGGAGTATTTTTCCATTTATTTGGGTCTTTTATTGTGTCTTGTATAAATATTCTGTAGGGGGTTTTTTTGTATATAGGTCTTTTGTCTCTAGTTAGGTTCACTCCCAAGAATCTCGATTTGTGGTTGGCTATTGTAAACTGTATTGCTTTCTTGATTTCCTTCTCTGAGTTTTTTGTTACTGTAGAGGAATCCCTCTGATTTTTTTATACTGATCTTATATCCTGCCACTCTATTAAATTAGCCTACTAATGCTAACAGGTTGGGGTTTTGGGGTTTTTTTTTAGTCTTTAGGGTTTTCTGTGTACATTATTGTATCTTCTTCATAGGGAAAGAGTGTAACCATCTCTTTGCCAATCTGGATGCCTTCTATTTCCTTCTCTTGTCAAATTTCCCTAGCAAGTACTTCAATATAATGTTCAATAGAGGGAGCTTTGGTGGCCTAGTGGCAAGAAGCTTCACTGCAATGCCAGAGGTGCGTGGTTCGAATCCATGAGGTGCTCTGCTGGAGAAGGAGGGACAATCTCCTCCTGTACCAGTCAGATCCCATTTGATGGTAAACACACACACACACACACACACACACACACAAATAATAAAAATAATAAAATTTTAAAAAGACGATACAGAACTACTGTTGCATAGAAGTGATGACATAGTGGCAAGAAGCTGCACTGCAATCCCAGAGGTACGTGGTTTGAATCCACCAGATGCTCTGCCGGAGAAGGAGGCGCATTCTCCTCCTGTACCAGTCAGATCTGATTTGACGGTACACACACAAAAAAAAATAAATAAAATAAAATTTAAAAAAAAAAGAAGTGATGACAGTGGGCATCCTTGTCTGGTCCCTATTTTCAAGGAAAACGCTTTTACTCTTTATCCGTTGAATTATATTGGCTCTTGGTTTTGCATCTATACTTATCAATATATTGAGGAAATTCCATCCTATTCATCAATTTTGCTGTCTTAATCAGAAAGGGCTGTTGGATTTTGTCAAATTCATTTCACATCAATTGCTAGGTTCATATAGTTCTTGTTATTTGCTTTGCCAATTAGACACATTTCATTGTTTTTCTTATTTTGAACCATCCTTGCATACCTGTTATTAATTCCACTTGGTCACATTGAATTAATTTTTTATGGGATTTTGGATTCTATTGGCTAGGATTTTGTTAAGGATTTTTGCATCTGTATTCATGAGTGATATTGGTCTGTTTTTTTCTTTCCTGTTAATATCTTTGCCTGGTTTGGATTAGGGTTATGCTTGCTTCATAGAATGACTCTGGGTGTGTTGCTTCTTTTTCTATTGTTTAAAAATACCATAAGTAGAATTGCTGATAGCTCTTCACTAAATATTTGATAGAACTCAGCCATGAAGTTATCTGGTCCAGGACTTTTTTTTGTGGGGAAGTCTTTTTTATGACCTGCTCAATTTCTTTTTTTGTGATCTTTGCCCACCTCAATGTCTTCTGTTCACCTGTTCTACATCTGTCTATGTCAGTCTGGGTAGGGCCTGGGTTTCAAGGAAGTTGTCCATTTCCTCTAGGTTTTCAAATATATCAGAGTATAACTTTTCATAATATTCCAATACTACGTATTTCATTTCCTGTGGTTCTGTTGTGATATCACCTCTATCATTTCTTAATAGAGTTGTTAAGGTTTTCTCTCTTCTTTGTTCTGTCATGTTTGCCATTGGTTTGTCAATTTTATGGATGCTTTTGAAAAACCAGCTCCTGGTTTTGTTGATGTCAATTAAAATGTCTCTTTTATGGTGTAGTCTGTAGGGAATTGCACTGCTAACTCAAAGGCCACATCTCTTAGTGATTCAGAAGGAAAAAGAAGGGGCAACATCTTCCCATGTGATTCCTGTTGCAGAAACCCACGATAGAATCAATTAGGAGTCCATTCCAATTCGGAGATAATGGACCAGTAATTCTTAGTTTTCTACCTTAAATAATTCCGACTTGGTTCACATTGTGTTATTGTTGTTGATTGCTGTTGAGAACAAGTCATAGTAACCCTATGAACAAAAGGCCTGAAGCCTTTCTGTAACCAGTGATGTTTATCAAAGTGCGTAGAGTTCTCAGAGGCACGTTGTTTAGGAAGTAGATGTCACTCCTGCATTAGAACATATTTTTTTAATTCATTTCCTTTTTAATGTTTTTATATTTGCTTAAAATATAGTTTGAATTTTAATTAAAACTTGAATAAAACTCACTACTTTGTAATAATGTATAAGTTTATTAATAACTAACAAGGAACATTTCATTTGGATTTTTATTTTTATATTTAAATTTGATTTTGTATTTTCTTTTCTACATTATATTCCTTTCTATATTATTATTGCCTGCTACTGAATTAGTTCTACGTCAAAGCGAACTGATGTGTAACATGGTGAAATGTTGCTCTGCCATCTTCCAGACACATGATTTTCATATATTTGAGTTTACAGTAGAGACGGTGTGAATCCAGTTCCTGAAAGATTTCCAACATTATCGTTGAACCCTTGCTTTTAAAAACATAATGTCCTTTCTAGCACTCTTTCCTGATTTAAGTGACCTTAAGTCTTCTCTTCAATGCTTCAAAGGAACATTCTTGTTACACTTCTTCCAAGATTAATTTTTCATCCCTCATGTAGCCTATTGTACAACCAATACTCTTCAAAAAAATAGAACCATTCAAATACACCAACTCTCGTGAGGGAAGCTCTGGTGGCCTAGTGGAAAGGAGCTGCAACTGCAATCCCAGAGACGAATGGTTCAAATCCACCAGATGCTCTGCCGGGGAAGGAGGGACAATCTCCTCCCGTAGCAGTCAGATCTGATTTGACGGTACACACACACAAAAATAATAAAAAATAAAAAAAACACACCAACTCTCTTAATACTTTCCTCTTTATTGTCTACCATACACAGGAGGCTTCAAAAACATCAGGAGATGGTTCAGGATCACCTTGAACATCAAAGTGAAATTGTCCCTTTTTAAAACTTTAAAAAGGTATTTTGAATCAGATATGTAGTCAATGAATATTTTAAAAAGTTGATGATGGATAAGATGGAGAGATAAGTGAAGAATTAGAATCAGGGGTAAACGGACCTACATAAGCCTTCTAAACTGTTTGATCCCACCTCATGCAATGTGTTTCCCTTGTAGATTGGGAGATTGTAGCATAACACACAAAGACTGTGAAGAGATCGTCTCTGCCTTCGTAGAAAATCATAAGCTGACCCATGTCTCCCTTGCCGAAAACGTCCTGACAGATGCTGGAGCAATGCTATTCTGTGACAGCCTGATAAACCCCCAAGTTGTTCTAAAGACACTTATGTAAGTTGATCTGGAGGAAGAATCCTCCAGTGAGGAATCCAGAATGTGTCCAGGGACCCATCAAGGACTGAGGCCATCCAGTGCTCAGCCACGGCTCCCAGGGAAGCAGTAGAACAGAGTTCAAAAGCACAGACAGACACTCCAGACTGACAGACTTATCTGCTGCAGCATCAATAACACAAAGCCAATGAAAACACTTTATCCAAAAAAAAAGTGCCCTGCCGTAGACATCATGCGGGACTTATTCTTACACGCCTCCCAGCTGGTTGTTTGCATTAGGTGGCATTAAGTCAGGTCCCACTCAAGATGCCCAACAGAAGCAAATCCTGCCTGCTCCCAAGCCATCTCCGTGAGCAGTGAACAAGTGCGCTTTACTGTGAGCCACAAGAGGTTTATTGGCCGATTTTTCAGATGTAAATCACAAGCCCTTTCTTCAAAGAAGCCTCTGGGTGAAATGACAACAGGAATCTTTTGGCTAATTGTTGTTGTTGGGTACTATCGAGTCGGACCTGGCACAGAACTGAACCACTAGTAGGTTTTCAGAGGCGATAGATTTCATGAAAGGAGATTGCCTGTCATTCTCCCATGGAACAGCTGGTGGATTCGAACCATCTATTTTCATTTTGACAGCTCAACACACGTCATTAGATCACAAAGACACAGTGTCACAAAACCAAGTGATTTTTGTCTAAAGTCACTCAGCTGGGGTGATCTAAATTGAACAAGAATGCTCTGCGTGTCCCATAGTCTTGTGTTTATGCAGATACCAAAAAAGAAGGTAATCTCTTAATTCAGGTGCAGAAATGAGGGAGGGGAAATTGGCGAAAGCAGGTTAGAAGGAAGAATTTGAGAAGGATTGCAGGTGGTCTTAAAGGATAAGAACTGTGTGACAAATTGTGTGTCCTCCCGTGTGTGTGTGTGTGTGTGTGTGTGTGTGTGTGTGTGTGTGTTTCCTTTTGTAGATTAAATGAATGTGGTCTATCTTATGTCTTCTGTGACTACATCGCCCAGATTCTTTTGTGGAACCGCTCTCTGACACTTCTCGATCTGGGATCAAATAACCTGAGCGATCGTGGGGCGAATTCCTTATGTGAAGCCTTGAAGAACCCAGAGTGTCACCTGCAGGAGCTGTGGTAAGTCATGTGGCCTTGATTGGCTTTGACATCAAGATTTCTCTTAATATTGGAATGATGGGAAAGAAAACAGGAAACGGGGTGGGGGAACTAGGAATTGGAACAGGGAATCAGGGAGTGTGGCATCCGTAGGGTCTTAGGAATAAAATGAGCTAAAAGTGCTCCCCAATTACTGGTTTTTTGAAGGTGGTGGGCACATATACAATTTCCAGTTGAAAGGGAGGTAAAAATAAAGAACACGAAGCTAACTCAACAGTTGCTGCTTACACAATTCAGCGACATTTGTCAAATTCTTCAACTTGTGCACCCATTTTTTACGATCCTTTTTTAGTTCATTTAATTGTCAATAACATCAATTCAGTGTTTCCTAAGCAAAACACTTCCCCTTTCCACCCCCTTCTTGCCCATGGTCCCTTGATATTTGTCCACTTGAAGGAAGTGAGATGATACAAGGCATGTTCTTTTGTGACTGACATCTCGCAGCAGAGTGTTCTCAAGGTTCAAAGATAAGGCACACATCAGGATGTCGTCCTTTTTACGGCTTGATTGTATTCCATTGTATCTATGGACCACATCATTTTTTTATCCATTCATCTGTTGATAGACACGAAGATTCTGAAGCTCTGTCTGACATACTCTGGACATGTTGCATGGCAGGATCAGTCCTTGAAGAGGGACGTCATGCTTGGGAGGGTGGAGGGACAGCGCAGGAGAGGGAGACCTCGATGAGGTGGATCGATGCAGTGACTGGGTTGATCAGGATAGGTGTGTTGGAGACAGTAATATTGGCCCAGGATAGAGCAGGGTTTCATGCTGTCATACATAGGGTCGCTATGAGTCACAGGGGACTCGACAGCTGTAACAACAACAACAACAACAAAACATATCTTTTTACTATGAAGAAACATGCATAGTTCAGGCCTATTTTTCTAATCCGTTCCCTCCGTTCTTCAGAACATGTGTACCTCGGAGTGGAATTGCTGCATCCAGTTTTTACTTGACTAATCAACTATTGGGACAGAGGTGGCCCACTGTACGACTGTGAACTTGTATCTCTGGCCTCAGAGCATGTGTATGTTGTTGTGAGGTACCGTGGAGGCAACTTGAATCTGTTTTGAGATGGTATCAAGGTGACTGAATCATGTTGTTGCTGTTGTTAGGTGCCGTCGAGTTGAGTAAGACTCACAGTGACCTCTGAACCACAGATCTGGACTCTGGTCTATCCTGGGCCGTCCTTGTGATTTCTGACATACTTGAGCCCACATATTTTGTGGTTTTGTAAAGTTATATGTAATGAATAACTAGCTTTTCACCTAATATTCTACTGTTTGGTCTCAGCCTCACATCTTTCACCAAGGCCTTGTTTTACAACTACCGAGCCTCCTTTCCTCTCAGTTTTTTTGTATTCCTATCCCCAGTTGTTACGAATCATCTTGATTTTGTGTTTAACCAACTTCAGGCTGAAGAATTTAGTAGAAATCTTAATTTTTTTCATCTTTGGCTTCATAGATAGGGGCATAAATTTGAATAATCGTACACACATTCATATAGCATGTATGTGAGAGTGTGTGTGTGTGTGTGTGTGTGTGTGTGTGTGTGTATGTGTGTGCAAGTTAAGGTGGTCATATTATGGGGAACTTAGATGAGGGACTGGAGAAAAACTGTGAAGATGCTATTTGTGTGTGTGTATGTGTGTGCCACTGTTGTAAAACGGGACTGACATAGAGGTTGAGGGGACACTGAGAAAGATGGGATACATTCTGTATACTGCATTGAAACAGATGAGGGAGAAAACTATTTAAAAGGGATGTATGATTAAGTGTTATTATCATGACAATAGTCCAGAATGAAGGCTCCATAGTGGAGTGGAGTGGACATGGGGGGAGGGATTATATAACAATGAAAGAATTTTTGTTTTCCCTTTCAAAGAGAAGAGCGAACTGGGGGCGGGGGAGGTTATACAGGGAGAAAAGTGCAACAATGAATGAATGGAAATCCAAATTCTCCGTAAACTTTCATTAAAATTAATTAAAAAGAAAAAAAAAGATGTTATATTAACTAGTCGTAGTAGGCCTAAGTGAGAAAGTGACTTTTTAAAATATTCTAAGGAGACTTTGGAAGCAGGAGTGGCATCCACTTCCTAAACAGCATACCTCCGGAAACTATGAACTTTGATAAATGTCGATAGTTGTAAAGGGGCTTCAGGCCTTTTGTTCAGAGGGTCTCTATGAGTCGTGCTTGACTTGAAGGCAATCAACTACAGCAACAACGAGACCAGGGTGCACGCCTAACAATATATAGAGAAGGAACGTTCAAAGCAGAGAGAGCAGAGGCCTAGAGAAAGGGGAGTGAGCCGGGCAAATCATGCCATTGGAGACCGTGGGGTCAACAAGGACACATTTTGCAAGTCCTTGAAGTCATCATGAAAACATTTGCTTAGTATATGAGCAACGTGAAAAGTCATTGTATCTTCCATGTTTACACGCTCGTTTTCTTCTTGAGCCTGAAGAATAAATAAGCCGCTAGGACTGGACTTGAAGAGAGTGTGTACGTGTGGGGTGTTTCCTCTCCAGGTTGGTGGGTTGCCACCTCACTCCCGCGTGCTGTAAGAATATTGCCTCTGTTTTTATGACCAACCAAAAACTAAAGGGCCTGAGACTTGGGAGCAACAACATACTAGATGCTGGCGCCAAGGAGTTATGTGAAGCTTTGAAGCATCCCGACTGTAAATTAGAAAGTATTGGGTGAGTATCCGTAAATCGTCTTGATAATAGTGTTGTTGCTGTGGTGTAATATTCGAATTGGAACCGGCTCATAGCTGACCCTCCATGGGGTTTTCAGATAAATAGCACGTCAGAAGAATGTTCATCTTTGTCCTGTGAAGCAACTCTTGTTGTTGTTATGTGCCATCGAGCCGACTGTGATTCACAATAACCCTCTGCACAATAGCTCTAAACCTCGCTCTGTCCCAAGCCAATCTCAGTCTCTCAACACCCACCCATATTAAAACCAGTTTCTGTGTCAAGCCATCTCATCTGGCGTCTTCCTCTCCTGCACTGTCCCTCCCCCATTCCAAGAAATAATGTCCTTCTCCAAGGACTGGTCCCTCCTGGCAACATGGTCAAACCATGTCAGCTGGAACTTCAAAATCCTTGCCTCCAAGGAGCAGCTTGGTTTCACTCTCTATAGCACAGACCTCTTCTCTTCTTTAGAACTCTTTCTTCTTTTCAATGCAAAGACATCAATAATTCTTCGTGCATCCTTATTCTGTCCAGCTCTCTGATGCACAGCAAGCGCATGCAAAGACCATGGCCTGAATCATGCACACCTTAGTCTCTAGACTGACTTCCTTGCTCTTTAGCATTCTGGAGAAGTGCCTAACAGCAGAGTTTCCTAATGCAATTCGTCTTTTGATTTCCTGACTGTTGGTAACTATCTGTGTTAGAGTAGTGCTAGTTTTTCTTTTTTTTTTTTAATGTGATTTTTATGGAATCAGAATGCCAGGGCTTTTTCCCATGGGTGGTTTCTAGCAGCCAACTTGACAGTCCACAGCTGATTGTCGTGGGCTCCCTAATTCAAGGGCAGGAAAGGATGGAACTGATAAAATAGAGAGAAGGGATCTATCCACAAGATCCTCCTAGGCTACCCCCATGTTTAAAGTCCTCCCTTACAGAGAGTTCTGGGATACAGTTCAGTGTACAGTGGCTGTGAGTTGATCCAAAGACTCTTCTCTCCTCCAGGGTTGGGATTTACTGACGGCTGTACAGAAGAAAGGTAGACGGGCTCTTCCGTTTGGACTTCCAGCCTTGGGAAAGCCAGCGGAGGGTCGTTGAGTGTCAGAACCTCCTTGAGAACAGGGAGGGTTTTAATGGCCTTTATTTATACTCCATTCTTCATAAATCTCAGCTTCTCAAATTGAAGTCTTCAGCATCCAGATCGAACAGGCATGGAGAGAGGATGTAGCCCTGACACACTCCTTTCCTAACGTCAAACCATGCAGGGTGCCCTCGTTCTGTTCAAACAGCAGCTGCTTGAGTTACGTATAGATCTCGCATAAGCACAATTTAGTATTCTGGAATTTCCATTCTTCTCAATGCTAGCCGTGGATTGTAATAATCCCCACGGTCGAATGTTTTTGCACAATTACAAATAGACATTCTTCTGCTGTTCTCTGCTTTTAGCCAAGATCCATCTGACATCAGCAACGATATCCCTAGTGCCACAGTCTCTGCTAACTCCAGCTTAGACTTGTGACAGTTCTGACCATGCCAGTATAAATGGATTTATTGGTGGGTTCTCAGTTCTCTTCCCTGTGGTTGTAAGATTGCTCCTCCTTCTCCAGGGGAGCGTCTGATGGATTTGAACCCCGCGCCTTCAGGACTGCAGTGCAGCTTCTTGCCACTAGGCCACCAGAGGTCCTTTACTTAGTTGTTTTGATTACAACTATATAGCAGTGGCTGGATTTGTGATTAGAACTGTGAGGACTCCTGCTTTGTTTTTCTTCTTCAATATCACTTTCTCTAAGGTCTCTTCGCTTTCCAAATGAAGTTGATAATGAATTTTTTTTATTTCTTTGCAAAATGGAGATGAGATATGTATAGGAAATGCATAGTGTTTGTAGATTGCTTGGTATTACCATTTTTCCAATGTTAAGTCTTTTGACGCATGAACATAGTATGTTTTCCATTTAGGAAAGTATCTGTGGGCTTTTTTTTTTAATCTTTGGGCTTCTTGTAGTAGTGCTTTATAGTTTTCTGTGTAGATCTTTTGTCTCTTTGGTTAGATTATTCCTAAATATTTCATCATTTTGTTGCTGTTCGAAGTGGAATTGGTTTTCTGATTGCCTTTTCAGAGTGCTGGTTGTTAACTGGAGAGAATTCTTGCTGAATTTTGCATATTGACATTGTACCCTCCCACTTTGCTGACCTGAGTAAATAGAGCCACTAATTTTCTTACTCTTTGGGAATTTCTACCTATAAGATCATGTCATTTGCAAAGAGAAATAGTTTCACTTCTTTGCTTATTTAGGTGGTTTTTCTTTTCTTGCCTTATTCTGGCTGGAACAGAGCAATACAATGTATTATTGAATAGGAATGGTGATAAGGGGCACTCTTGTCTCGTTCTCACTGGCAAAAAGAATTCCTTCAGTCTCTAGCCATCGAAAGAATAATGGCCATTGGTTTTGTATATATGGTTTTAAGTATGTTGAGGAGTTTCCCTTCTATTCTGTAGAGCATTTCTAAAAGGAAAAGATACCAAATTTTGTCAAGTGCCTTTCCTGCATCAATTGAGATGATCATGTGGTTCTTGCCTTTCTTTTAGATGTGATAGATTACATAGTTGTTTTTCTAATGTTGAACCATCTTTGCATGGCAGTATGAGTCTCACTTGATCAGGAATTTTTTTAAAATATTTTGTATTGGTTTTCTTATAATAATTCCTTTATATTGTGTTTCTTCTTATAATATTTTCTCTCAATTATTTTCTTATTAATATTTTAACAAAAGTTTACAGAAACTTTGGATTTCCATTCATTCATTGTTGCACATTTTCCTCCCGACCCCCTTCACTGCTCTCTTTAAAAAGATTCTCTTGTTGTTGCATCCTTTACATTATGTTTCATTCACATACGTTGTCTTTTATACAATCTTTCATTTACAATTTGTTTCAAATAATTAGTCATATACTTTCTCTTTACATTATTTTTTCTTAATTGGTTTGCTTACAAAGTTTCTATACATTG